TTTATGTCGGCATGAGTCGATATATTACAATGATGTTCCAACGGAGATCAACGTTCCTTGTTGATTGCCATCATCATCATCATCATCATCACCATCAACCACATCTCTCCGGCCACGGATTTCTTCCGGTGTTGTTGTCTTGTCCCCCTCGATTCGATCCTGATAGACTTCACCTCCATCGTCATTGTCATGATCTCCGCTTCTTCTTGTGGCATCCAACTCTATTACACCTAACCACTTGTGTTTCATGTTGCATGCCAACAAGATGCAACGGTGAGGGTATGGTATGAGAGAATTAGAAATTAGACATGCACTTGATTGAGGCTGCAGTCCAGTGAGGATGAGATGGAGGTATTATTGGTCGATGACAGATTTCCTCCATGTAGAAAAGGTCAAGGTGCAAACAAGTGAGGTTGGTGACTGCATGTCGATGGCTGTGGCTGTCCTTTATTTGATAGTGAGAAGCAATGGTATGACAAGGCGGAGGAAACATGACTAATTGGCAGCTCCCTAACAAGTGGCCTTACCAACCCTAATAAATGCAGGGGTGGAAGGTTGTAGCATCATATATTTTTCACTTGATCTATCATACGAGAAGAGTATTCATATAATATATTAAAGATTTAGGTGTATGTGTAATGATGCATACACTTTATCTTGCATCATATAATAATGCATCCGCATCCACTTGTGGATTAGTAGGTGTGCACATTTATCTTTTCCGATTGATCAATCAGTGGGATGATGATTAAAATATCAGAATTTTCTTTAGTATAGGTTTGTTTTTATATGAACGTTAGGAAGAACAAATGGAGGAGATTCTCACGTTTGTAGTTGACACTTCACCTTCCTTCCAAACAATCTAAATAAGTTGTATATTAACAAGGTTTTGTTCGATATGCTTGATTGAGATAAATCATTTTAAAACCTAATATTACAATTTAATTTGTTACATATATAATATTTTTTTTTCCTTTTAACCTGAATGTTACACGATGTAGTGGTTAGCTCATTCTTTATCGTCCCTCGGAAGTCCTTGCCCTACTTTTATTCCATTGAGCGATAGAAAATAATAGCATAGACGATTGAAATAATGATTTTTTGGTCTCAAATTTATGATGATAATTTTATTATTAATCATGTAGTAATCGAAGAGGGCCTTTCATATTGGGATAATAATAATTATTTTGAGTTCATTTAAGAAAGTTACGATGATTTCATTATGATAGGTCAAATCACTCCCGTGCAATCTAATGTCTATTCATCCGAAACAACTTAAGAAGGATTAAAAAAAGCAACCCACATTCTATCCAAGTCTATTTGTGATGTGCACTCAGGTATCAGACGATAATTTCAACTTAGTTGCGATCATACTAGTACTACATATGAGTCTATTATCCATTTTGATACATTATTTCTTCCTCCCTCTTTTTTTATCCAATAATAAAGATCATGGTGCATTATGATTTACTAAAACAAGGTATGTCAGAATGAACCAGATCGGAATTGATCTAAGTCATGGATCCATTGATCATTGAATTATTGCTTGCGTATTGAACATATATTTTATATGTAATCCGATATGATGAATAGAGACAATTATAGAAGTATATATATATATTTTTTGAAAATATCAATTAATTTAGTTGGTAAAAACTTAAATAATATATTGTAAAGTCCTGAGTTCAAACGTCGCATTCGTCATATCACATGTGAAACGACATCGGATGCCTTTCCACGGCTTAACATTCTGTCATCTTTGAGTTTAGAATTCAGAGACATTTTTTCTTATTAAATAAAAATGAATTTATCGATTGCAATTAAAATTATCCTTTTTCGTTAGATGCGAAGAAAGACTAAATTCATAAAGAAAAGGAAATCTAAGTGAAAACAGGCTGGCAATCATTTTTCTAACATGCTCTCTGATGAATGCTTTTATGACTTTGAACAGAACGATGTGGACAGTGTTATCTTCTAACATGTTTCTTTAAATATATGCATGCCGTGGGTGATTCCACGTTGTGTGCCCTCTTTCCAAGATAAAAAGAACAGAAGCCACGAAGTTTGTGCTGCACTTGTATTCTTCTTCTTCTTCTTCTTCTTCTTCTTCTTCTTCTTAATTCATGTGTTACGTAGTAGACAGAGTAACTTCTTCTGGCAATACTTCCTCTGAAGCAAAACGTCAAACACCGGACAGGGATGGCGTACCAAAGCCTCAAGAGGAGTTGAGTGTGAAAGATTTGGTTTGCTACACTCATCTCACACCCAAAAGGTCTTCCGAGTCCTTTTTAATGACTGACTTTGATGATGTTCGACTATTTTTGTCATAAGAAAATGTATACTGACTGAGGTCTAAGAAACAAAGCAGGTTGCTCTACTCGCAGCAATAGATGGTCGGTCTTTCGGGACTCGAGAAGGTCTCCAAAGACTGCATGCATCACCAACAACCATGCCCGCCCGCTGCGATTCCAAACAGCTTCTGCAATTCTTGTACCACCCAAACATGATCGATCCCACAGATACTCACCGACTTAGAACTGCAACACCAGACATGATCCTATGGAGACTCACCCACCGACGACTACCTAAAAACACATACCAAATATGTATGACTTTTGTGGATTAGTGTGGTCCCCACGAAGGCCTGAAAGGAGGTGACAGCCCCCACGAGGGTTAAAATTTGACGTACGTATAGCAATCATAATCATTTTTATTTAGGATGCTGCACTATAGTTAGTATATAAGCATAAAACAAAGCATCAAAATTTTCAATCATAGACTGGTTTGCTTATTCGTTTTCAACAGAAACAAGAAACTAACAAGAAGCTTGCTTGAAGAAAAATAAAAAACAAAACACAAAATCTCCATCTATAACAAGTAAAGCAGAGACTGGTAAAAATAATAGAAGTAATTTTCCTATGGTCACAATTGAGAACTAAGGGAACCTAGACAGAGAATAAGTTGCCAGGTAATGATGTGGATATAAAAGATCCAGGTGTATCAGGAGGCATCAAATGCAATCCTAGCCTGATACCATAACCTGGTCGCACGCCTGTAGTGCTTGGCCTGCGAAGTATCTGACATCCACATCTGGATCCTCACTGAGCTCGACCAGACACGGACGAATTGTTGCCTCCACCCCCTGCAGGAGGATTTTGAGCACAACTCAAATAAATCACGACAGCAGAAGAACAGTGAAGATTGACTTTTAAGATAATAGAACCACATGAATCTACTACTACTAACAGATTGGCCAACGATGGGTACAAGTGACTGCAAAACCTTTGCGACATTGAACTTGATGTTGGGCACCCTGTCAATTGGAATTTCCCAACAGATTCTTAGATGGTTGTACATGATAAATGAACCGAATGCAATTGCCAATTTACCTGTCCTTCGATAAAGAAATTACTACGGGCAATAGCTTTTGGCATGTGATGTCGGCACCCATGACAGGGGCCAGCAGAGAAATCGCTTGTAGAATGGTCATACGATACAAGTAATGTGGATTATTGATCTTCTCCAGCACCTGCAAAGCAAACAATCATGCTTTTCAAATCACAGATTTACAGTGCTTCAGAACCTGATGAACCTCTGTCTCCTCCACAAAAATTATAAGAAAATTTCAATTTCATAAATTACAAATGCTGAAAGCCTCTGAACTTTGCATTAGCGGCCAACATAGACCAATTACTTTGCATTAGTTGGTGACATGCCTCAGACAAGATCACAATGTTTATGTTGGACAAAGATCAAGTATCATAACACTCGGAGACAATGATAAGCTAGTGCTGTAACATTCTAGTAATGAAGCATGGTCTAATGTAGCTTTGTAGAGATATAGGTTCCACAAAGACCAATTAATTATAGAAATGAGAAGATACTCGAAACTTCAAATCAGTTTAAAGCATCTTTTCAGTGGTTCAATAATAAATACAATGCCATTCTTGCCAAGGGACAAGGAAAGAGAACTTATGCCTCCAGTCATTGTTCAGTCATTTTTTTTCATTCAATATGCTGTGTATGACT